TTTACAGACCTTTTATCCACCGAGAAAAATCTGTGTAGTCTGGCTTAGTTACAAGGGTAAACAACAAGCAAATCAGCAGTGATGAAAAGATAGTACAAAACATGAGCAGGAGAACAGGAGAAAGCAGAGGAACATTTCCAACCCCAGTGAAGACACAAGGAGCCAAGGCAGAGCCCTGGCATCTCAGCAGCACGGCTGACCTGTGCATCTGAGTCAATCTCATTGATAACAAGCCAAGCAGACAGATTTATTCCAGGAAGACCAACACTTCAGTTGCACAAACTCAAGGCAATAAGGATTGGCTTCATCTGAGGACTGAGAGGAGGTGGGTGGGGGAACACTCAACGTAAGACATTCCTTAATGATTAGGTTTGGGACTATAAGGGGGCTGAGTTTAATAAGTTTCAGTAACTCTTTCAAATTTGGGGAATTCTTTTTTCATTTATATAATTTGATCAGTCTAACAGGAAATAAGTAAGGGAAATGCCCAAAGGAAATTCAAGGACTTCAGAGATTTGGAAGAGATTCAGAAATTAAATCAGAATACTTCTGAGCCACTGGTCACAGGGAATTGATGGAAATCTGAGTGCCAAGAGTTACCACCCAACCATTATTAAACTTAACAAGGGAATTTCTTTCCTCCTCTTTTATTTTATGACAAGAAGGAAACAAAAAGTTATGAGACTTGTCAAATATAATCCCACCCTTCAAAGGCCATTGTGGTCCCAGCATGCATACCTTTCACACGTGTTATGTTGTATAACTTTAGACCCAAAGACATTAAGGCCTGAAGGGTTCCTGTGATCTCCTCTCCTGGCTAAATTACAGGCAGGCAAGAACACAAAGTTAAAGATGAATCTGAAAAGCCTTTCTTACTGTAATGGTGCCTTTTCAACAGCAATTAGTGGGGGCTGCAGAAGTTGTAAAACTTGGATCTCTTAGGAGACTGCTTGGGAATGACTGAAATATTCGCAAGCTTCAATCAACGCAAGGACGACGAAGCTGACCTGAGACGACTTCTAAACAGAAGAAAACTCTCGAGCTAATCTTCAAGTTAACAATTCCCTTGTGCAGAGAGATGATACATTCACTTCTCCCTTTCTATCACACATGCCCATGACTCAAACAGAAGGAGGGATATCAGGATGCTGCTGTGCTCACAATGATATCAACGCAGCGGAGATGCAGCACTCCAGTGGCATGAATCACTCTGAAACACAATCCACTCTCACAGAAAACTCATTCCAGATCTCAGGGTGGACTCAGGGCTCAGGTTAAACGTTCTGGGTTTCTGCATATTTAATCCACCCAAATCAGAGCAAGTTATCACAGGAGATTCAGCGATACAGAGATAGTTCCATGAATCGCTGGAAAAACCCTTGAGATTGTCTCTTTGGACCTTCATTTCCACTACCAGCAAAAACACGTAGCAACTCTGCATGAGAAACATGTACTGGTCAAACACAGGAAAAAAATAGCAGTACTATGATGAGAGCAGATTATCAGCTGCCCTTTAGCAGGACACTTGGGACAAGAACTGAAGCAAAAGATACTTACCCCAGCAGCAGGTCATCGGGGACTGCAACAAAAAGAAAACGAAGCATGATCTTGCTGAACCTCCCCACTGTGAGAGACATCAACATCACAGGGAGGCTAGTATCTCCCTAATGTTCCCCCAGCAGCCACACAGGACTGCAGTGCTCTAGCCATCCTCTCTAGCCACCAAAAAGCAACAAGGAGCAGCAAAATGATCTGCTATGGTAGTGCTAAGGCACTTACCAAGTACAGCAATTAAGTATACATTCAGAACCACAGGGATTAATTTTAAAAAGAAATGCAGAAGCCCAAATATACTGACTTTTATAATATCCTACTTTTTAAAAGCATGCAACAAAAGGCATGCGGCCTCAACATCTTACTCTGTCACTTTAAGAAGTGGTTAAAAATATATATGTATTGGTTTCCCTGAAACTCTCTTGGCATGAGTTGAAAATTCTGGCATCACAACTTTAAAAATGTTGTTCTTTTCCCAGCATAGTCTTGCCGGGCGCCACTAGTTTATAGCTTTTAATACAGCACACAGAAACATAATGACTTCACTTATTAGAACTTCTTGTTAAGATGGAAAATTACATTTAAGAAAATTAGTCTGTTTGTTGTAGCTAACAGCTTAGGCTCTGATCATCAGATCTGATCTTTCTGTTATCGCTAATGGGACACAGTGTACTACGTCTCCGTATTCCACTGGAATATCAGGACTTTTGACTTTAAAATCCTTTGTTCCAACAATTCAAAATATTCACTGTGACTTATGCTGTTGGTTTGACTTTTCCAACTTTATTCTAATTTAATTCTCCAAAGCAATTGATCAGTTTATTTCGGCAGTTATGTCCCAGTGTACTATTTTGGTGCTTTAAGGAGAAGTAACCCTTAAAAGGAAAGTTTACTTTTTTTTCTAGTTTACAGCAGGATTTATAAAGCTCTTTTTAAAAGTCACATGTAGATTTTGGACCTACTCTAACCTGACAGGAGCCATACTACAAGTATGCCAGAAAGCTGTCAATGTGGTCACTCTGACAGTTTAGACATTAAGTCTCTGCCCATTTCCCACTCAAATGTAATACTCAAACAGACTTCTCTGAATGTTTATTTGGTTGGTTCTAGTGCAGTTGAAATATTCCTTAAATAGACACTTTCCTTAGGAAGAACCATTCTGCACTACTTATCAAGTAAACACAAACACGTTTATTCTTTCAGCACAGATTACAGAACTACGTTAGTAATCCAGAGTGCAACGAAGGTAATTGTTCTTAACTAGCTGCTAGAATTGGCCAAGATTTAACTGTTGGCTTATGCTTGCTTCATTCGAGCAACGGGGAAGTTGTTCTTTGCCCTGGGATCGCTAACACAACACCCTCTGCCGGTCAGTCAGGAAACATGATCGTTTTTACAAAGATTTCCCTTTCAGCTCCTTTTGAAATTAGTGAGTCTAAAAAACCAGCAGTACAGTAGGCACAACAAAACGCCTACCTAGAAGTATGTAAATTATCATCTCTCAAGTGCAACCACTTACACTACAAGCTCAAAGCAAGCAGCATTGCCCTAGGTCCCACGTTCAAAAAAGTGTCCAACCTGGTCTAATTTTGGGAAGGGGGCTGCTCCTTATTACCTGTGCTTCAAACCCCTTTGTGTCCAGACAAGTTGTATCCAGTACAGAACTAAATATACACTCAGAACCACAGGGATTAATTTTAAAAAGAAAGGCGGAAGCCCAAATATACTGACTTTTATAATACCCTACTTTTAAAAGCATGCAAGAAAAGGCATGCGGCCTCAACATCTTACTCTGCCGCTCCTGAAAGTGAAGGCCCCCCTTATGCAACAGAGTCTGCAGAAGATGCAAGCAAGGAGAGGCTGACAACCCTCATTGCTACCTGGAGGTTCGACAGCGCCAGCATTACTGGCCCACCGCCTGCTGGGATGGTTCTGTTTTTCTTTACATACCGTGTGAGGTCTCCTGAAAAGCCTTTCTGATCTCTTTCAAAAGCTCTTCTGCTACTGCTGGCAAGGTACTATCCATCTCATTGGCACTGGCCTCGTGACTGGAAGCAAGACAGAGGAGAACAGGAGACTGGGAAGTCATTAAGGTCACCACAGATACTACAAACCGGGGCAGTTTATCTGGGCAGTACTCTATCTCAACCCTGCCATGAGGCCAAGGAAAGGGCAACCTCAGCGCCTTTCGAACTGTTTTTTTTTTACTTTCTCGGAACAAAGGGTTTCTCAAAAACGCAGGGGCGTCTCTCGGATACCCCCACGTGCAAACAGATCCCGTGGAAGGACGGGCGGGGGGGCGATACAGCCGGCAACAGGAAGGGGCCCTGGCCCGGAGCGTCCCGGCGCTGGGCCAAGGCAGTTCCCGGCAGAGGAG